TTATCATGGAGGCCTTATTCTGCATAACAAGGCCACCTTGCTGGCCAGGATTACTCTCTCCTTCCTAAACTCTGTCACCAAAATTCTTGCTCTTGCTCAGGCTGGTTTCGAACTCCTGACCTCGAGCAATCCACCCACCTCGGCCTCGCAGAGTGCTAGGATTATAGGCGTGAGCTACCTTGCCCCACCTCAACATGCATTTTAATGATTTAAATGAGATAATTTTGTAATTGATTTTTGCACAACTCTCAAAAAAGTGAAACCAACAAAAAGTCAGTATTTTGCTTAGTTCCCCTGAGAACTTTTCTAGACGCTTGATTTAGAAGGGATGGCTTTTCCATCTGCCCATGTCTAATTCGTGTATCAAAGGAGGTGAGTTAGGGTTGAGCACTGATAAGTATTTGCATAGTACTTTATATATGACCGAGAAAAAACAAGGAGAGATACAAACACTTCAGTGCTGTACTAACGGGGTACTAGGATCACTCAAATTATTCCACCTCAAGAATTTAAGGGGCTTGTTATGAATAACGAAAGACACTTCTATCACTAAGGAAATTCCACAGGTTTTAGGAGCACTGTGCCAAGGAAGCAGTAACAAAGACCAAACGTATTTCTTATTCTAACATATCCATCCACATAAACTTTTTCAGTGTATCAAACATTTATCAAAAGGAAATAAAATTGAGTTTACATTGTCACTTCTTGTGGCAGACTCAGTCCAAAGATATGTATACTATAATGAATATAGGAAAATTCTGATTTACTAGAATCCTGATATATTTGCTCAGAGCTGTTCTATGCTATGATGGTTCTTTTTCAAACTATCATTGTGTTAATGTCAGATATTTAAAAATAAAAATCACCTTCATACTAGTAGGTTTTCTCTAGGAAAAAATCCTAAGAATTTTATGTTAGGAAAAGGTTATGCCTCAAAAGTTTAAAATGCAAGTCAAATTTTAAAATATCAATAAAAGTCAAAATCCATAAAAGGAAAAAAAGTCTAAGGTATTTTAAATAAAACAGTAGAAAATTATAATCATTAATTTTCTTGCCAGAGTACTTACTGAGGTTAGGATAAGCTTGGTAGTAACACACACTACCAACTCTTACGGGAGGGGAGTGTAGGCAAAACACCCAGATTTGTAGTGTTTACTGATTTCCATAATACAAATACACCATGGCCCATTTTGAGCTATGGAACATGAAACTGCTGAACCTGGAGTCAGGAAGAGATGTGTACAGTCAGCTCTTAAGAGCTGGTACAAGCATAACACTGGTAATTAGTTGTTGTGGAATCTTAATTATTAAATAAGAACACTAATTCTTTTTATCTTTATGCATGTTAAGTGTTTGCAAAATACTTCCATAAATATTTGGGATTTTTTTGAGACAAAGTCTCGCTTTGCTGCCCAGGCTAGAGTGAGTGCCGTGGCGTCAGCCTAGCTCACAGCAACCTCCAACTCCTGGGTTTAAGCAATCCTTCTGCCTCAGCCTCCCGAGTAGCTGGGACTACAGGCATGCTCCACCATGCCCGGCTAATTTTTTTCTACATATATTAGTGGCAATTTAATTTCTTTCTATTTATAGTAGAGACGGGTCTCCTCTTGCTCAGGCTGGTCTTGAACTCCTGACCTGGAATCACCCCACCTCAAGCCTCCCAGAGTGCTAGGATTACAGGGCGTGAGCCACCTCGGCCCGGTTTTTGGGTATTTTTTAAAAATCTGTGTTGTGCACAGACAAGGCATATCAGCGAGGTTACCAAATGTCAAGAGTGGCTTAGTCTCTGGAAGAATGAGGATTCGTAGAACTTTTTGTATTTTCTCATCTCTGTCGTTTCTGATTTATCTACAGGGAGCACATACTGCTTGGTGTGATAAAACCGATGTTAAGTTGGCCAGGCATGATGGCTCATGCCTGTACTCCCAGAGCGTGGGGGGCGGGGGGAGGCGGAGGGAAGGGAGCCGGCCGCCGCTGGGGGCGGGGGGCGAGAAGGAAGAAATAAAAGTTGGGAGGCTCTAGTGTCTCAGGGCTCCCTCCACAGCACTCCCCTACTCTTTCTCCCTGTGTTCTCACCCTTCCCCCAGGCTGCAGTAGCCCCTCACTTTTCCTATGTAAGGGTGAAGGAATGCATGCTGTCTGCATTCCACAACTTGAGCACCTGGCAGGTGCTGGACGCCCCTTGGCTGCAGGTGCCTGGGTTGTGCTGTACTCGCTGTGTGGAGCCCCCTGCCCAAGCAGCTGGCTCTCCTGGAACCCTGGGACCCTGAGTTTGGTGATCCCCACCCCTTTGTCCTGTTGGCACCAGCAATAGGGCAACCAAGCAAGGCTGCCGCGCAAATTTTCTTCCCCATACTGAGTTAACTCTTCACTGTAGAACCCAGAAGAACCAGCCGCTCGGCACTGGCAGCTCCTGGCGCCAGCCATGAAGTTAGCCAGGGTCTGCAGTGCGCACTGTGTACAGTGCCTTGGAAACCACTCTCCAGCTCCACCTCCTGTCCCCACCTCCCGCCTGCCAGGGCTCACCTCCTCCTGCCACCCGGCCACCGCTCCCCCCTTACCTGCGAGTAATTGCCCCCACCTCACACTCTCCCTACGTTTAATTCTGTACATGCACCACTCAACTGGTAAGTCCCTGGGAGCTGACACCTTTCCCTGTTTTGCTACCAACTGTGAGCCTGTACACAGTAGGTGTCCAATAAGCATTGGTTGGGAATGGATATGAATGCCGCGCTAGTGGGAATACACGAGCTCCTGTGCTCTAAAACGCCTGCAGGTCAAGCACTGGGGGACGCCTTGAATAAATGGGGTTATTTTGATCACAGTAGGAATAAGACGAGTTAAATAATTTATAAAAACTAAAATAAAAACTGAGGCGCAGCGCAATGTGCAGGAAGTGCGTGCTGCTGTAGGTGGCGACTGACAAGCTCTCCCAGCCGCAACCTCCGCTCTTGCGAGGCGATTGATCTCACTGAATCTGTAGTCGCGGGGATGAGGACCGCCTACCCTATGGAGTCTTTCTGATCTGTAGCGTCTTGTCAATGGCAGGGTGTGCTTTGTCAATAAGATAGCCGGAGTTAAAATGCTTCAAAAGCAATATTTCTCTACCTGATAGACGTCTCATGTTGATAACGATATGTTTTCACAGGAGGATAGTTACAAACGCTGTGAAAGACAAGTTTGCTTGCCCTACACCCAGCGAATTCTGTCCACGTTTATCCTCTCTCTCTTCATCTTTTTTTATAAAAACAAGTCAAAATGTTTTCCCTACTCTACCATTATAATGCTGTTTGTGAATTCCACTTGGCCCTAATTAGCCTTTAGTCTTTTAGCTTTAGTCCCACAGACAGCTGCTTTGGGTTGAATGTTATTTTGATTTACTCCCAATGTTTCTGAATTTGAGCCGAGCTTAGGAACTTACTCAACAAAACAAGAAGCTACAGTCACCAGCCACCCACCGTCCACTAATCAGAAAGGCCCCACTGGTGTTGGCTTTTTCTCTCTTATTGGCCTCCCACGGCCAGTCCTGGTCAAAAGTTGGTCTGTTTCTCTAAAACTGATGTCTGACAATGACTGTCATCCACAGCCTGGTGAAAAACTTGTCAGTTTTTTAACATCAAGAGCCTATCTCTCTAATTATATTGCAGCTTCATGACTGCAAAGCTTACATTAAGAATAATGTAAACCAGAATAATAAACATTTATACTAAACTGTAACTACATGTGAGGTTCATTCTGTTCAGCTTTAGCCAAGACCCCTAAGGCTGAGAGAAAATTGCAATAAATGGCAACTAGCCCCTGGTCCTAGAGTAAGTGGTGTAAGGAAAAATACAAATTAAAAATAAAAGGCTTAAGTCTCCCTGTTGAGAATAAAGGAAGAGATTTTCTCCCCTCCTTTTTCTTTGAACTTTTACTTTTAGAAAACAGGCAATTGTAAGGAGTTCCGCCTCCTTTTGAAATGTATATAATTCTTTTGAAGACTAAATAGACTTTTTGTCAACTTTATGACCCTGGAATGTCTTTCTCAAGGCCTGGGAGCCATCTCTTTGAAATGCAAATGTGATGGGAAATAGTGCCCTATCTCCCACTTTCTGTGGGAGCCAGGAACTTGAGCTCGGAGGGCACCTTACTGCAAATTGCAAAACTACCTCCTCTCATAAAGTCAGTTGTGTGACACAGATGGTGCCCCTCCTATTACCAGGAAAAGTTACAGGATGAACTATGCGTAATGAATGATGGTGTGGTCCTCTCACTTGGGAACTAGCTATTGTTTATCTTAAAAGCTTGTATGTAATTTCTGGGTTGAGAGTGTTTGTGTTGTATTTCTCCAACAGGTACTTTCCTGCAATGTCAATGGAAAAAGCCAAACTGTAAAATAATTTTAAAGAGATTTATGGTGAGCCAAATTTGAGGACCATGACCCGGAGCTACTCCCAAGAGGCCTTGGGCAAGTGGACTTGATGTGACTGAGTTAGTTTGGTTTTTATACATTTCAGGCAGGTAAAGTCATCAATCAATACGTGGGAGGCATACATTGGTTTGGCCCAAAAAAGTGGGGCATCTTGAAGGGGCAGGGCTTACAGGTCATAGGTGGGTTTAAAGATTCTTTGGCTTGTCATTGGTTAAAGACATGAAGCTTTCTCTAAAGGCTTGGAATGTTTTAACATAAGGAGCTGTTATCAGAGATGAGCCACCGACATAGATTTGTTGAGTAAATTGAGGACATGCAGGTGTGTCTTGCACACCCTTAGGCCTCTTAATGGGTTCCAAAGGAAGTTCCCAAGAAGGGAGGGGGGCATGATGAGGCCTGTCTGACTTCCCTCCTCCTGGCAGACAATTTAATTTTAAAATATTCCTTTGGCCATCGGCCTCCAGAGTGCTATGATTTATAGGCGTGAGCTACCTCGCATGCACCTCAACATGCATTAAATGATTTAAATAAGATAATTTGTAATTGATTTTTTGCACAACTCGCAAAAAAGTGAAACCAACAAAAAGTCAGTATTTTGCTTTCTTAGTTCCCCTGAGAACTTTTCATAGACGCTTGATTTTGAAGGGATTGCTTTTCCATCTGCCCATGTCTAATTCGTGTATCAAAGGAGGTGAGTTAGGGTTGAGCACTGATAAGTATTTGCATAGTACTTTATATATGACCAGAGAAAACAAGGAGAGATAACAAACACTTCAGTGCTGTACTAACGGGGGTACTAGGATCATTCAATTATTCCACCTCAAAGAATTTAAGGGGCTTGTTATGAATAACGAAAGACACTTTTCTATCACTAAGGAAATTCCACAGGTTTTAGAGCACTGTGCCAAGGAAGCAGTAACAAAGACCAAACCGTATTTCTTATTCATACATATCAATCCACATAAATTTTTTCAGTGTATCAAACATTTAATCAAAAAGGAAATAAAATTGAGTTTACATTGTCACTTCTGGTGGCAGACTCGAGTCCAAAGGATATGTATACTATAAGTGATATAGGAAAATTCTGATTTACTAGAATCCTGATATATTTGCTCAGAGCTGTTTCTATGCTTATGATGGTTCCTTTTTCAAACTATCATTGTGTCAATTCAGATATTTAATAAAAATCACCTTCATACTAGTAGGTTTTCTCTAGGAAAAAATCCTAAGAATTTTATGTTAGGAAAAGGTTATGCCTCAAAAGTTTAAATGCAAGTCAAAATTTTAAAATATCAATAAAAGTCAAAATCCCATAAAGGAAAAAAAAGTCTAAGGTATTTAAAAATAAAACAGTAGAAAAGTATAATCATTAATTTTCTTGCCAGAGTACTTACTGAGGTTAAGATAGCTTGGTAGTAACCACACATTACAACTCTTACAGGAGGACAGCGTAGGAAAAACACCCTGATTTGTAGTGTTTACTGATTTCCATAATACAAATACACCATGGCCCATTTTGAGCTATGGAACATGAAACTGCTGAACCTGGAGTCAGGAAGAGATGTGTACAGTCAGCTCTTAAGAGCTGGTACAAGCATAACACTGGTAATTAGTTGTTGTGGAATCCTTAATTATTAAATAAGAACACTAATTCTTTTTATCTTTATGCATGTTAAGTGTTTGCAAAATACTTCCATAAATATTTGGGTTTTTTTTGAGACAAAGTCTCGCTTTGCTTGCCCAGGCTAGAGTGAGTGCCGTGGCGTCAGCTAGCTCACAGCAACCTCCAACTCCTGGGTTTAAGCAATCCTTCTGCCTCAGCCTCCTGAGTAGCCTGGGACTACAGGCATGCTCCACCATGCCCAGCTAATTTTTTTCTATATATATTTTAGTTGGGCCAATTAATTTCTTTCTATTTTATAGTAGAGACGGGGTCTCGCTCCTTGCTCAGGCTGGTCTTGAACTCTGACCTAGAGTGATCATGCCCACCTCAGCCTCCCAGAGTGCTAGGATTACAGGCA